CCTCGACCCCCAGGGTCCATCGTCCCCCGCCTTCGGTAGTGCGGGGTGTGGTGACAGCTTCCATCACCTGGCCCTTCCTCCAATCGTTTATTTTGTGGGACTCCCTAGTGTATATACATGTACGGTTTTTCCACGGTTAATCTGCTTTGTCCTCTTAATTCATAACCCAGCCAAATAACCTAGAGGGGTAGAGGGAAGCAAAAATCTCCCTGCCCTACACAAAGAACCACAGGCAGGCCCAGTGACAGTTAGGGTTAGGGTTTTTTGGCAGTGCTGGGGACCCAGGGCCTTAGGTGTGCTCTAGCAAGCACCCTATCACTGAGCTGCACCCTATCACTGAGCTGCACCCTATCACTGAGCTACACCCAGCTCAGCAAGGGGATTTTAAAGGTTGTGGTGGGTGAACCCTGTCATTAACATGACTTTGCACAATGTCAGAATTCTCAGAACACCAATAAAGGCCCGGGCGACCCCACATTCCTCCGTGCAGTTCACTGGGTACTGTGGTCACTTGGTCGTCATCAGCTAGGCGATCTCAGTTCCTAGTACCTGTAACACTCAAGTCACACCACACTTCATACAATTAGACTTCCAGGTTCCAGAAGGGCTAGGAAAGGGCTGAGGCAGCTGGGTCCAGGAAGCTGCAGAGAGCAAAGGCAGAGGCGGATGTGAAGGAGCCCTGTAGGTGGTCAGGTGAGATCACAAACCTGCCAGAGCTTGCTCAGGGTGCAGAGCTGTCAGAGCCCAGAAATCTACTCCARGCCGAGGTTCCAAGACAGCACCTGGAGTGGGACTTGTGTGGTTATCATGGGCGAAGCCACCCTCTGCTGAAGCCCGAGGACAGAGGTCCAGAGGTTCTTCAGTGTGGCCATTTTTCTGGGGCAAGACTTGTGATGAGTGACCGGTAACCAGGTGACAGGGCCAATTTTTGGATGTCCCTCCTTTTATGGGTCTCAAGTAAGGGGGTTGCTTCTTTTGGTGGTCTGGTGTGCTCACTAAGCTTTCGGGCCTGGTTTTTCCAACGAATTTGATATACTCATGTATTCTTTGCTTTGGATTAATTCATCAAGTTCATGGGCAGTCATTCTTATCAGCACAATTAACTCACAGTGTGTGCTTTATGGACGTGCTGGGCAGGTGGTGGTTGTTTACTGGTATAAACAGGGTGTGAAGTCATTCCACATCAGCACTTGTGCTCAAAATGGAATAGCTCAGGGCAGGGAGGGGGGACATGGGAGGAACAGAGGAACTCTAGAAAGGGCAGAGGGGTGGGAGGGTAGGGTGGGGACATGGGGTTAGAAATGATGGTGGAATGAGATGGACATCATTATCCAAAGTTCACGTATGAAGACACGAATTGGTGAGTATACTTTGTATACAACTAGAGATGTGAAAAACGGCTCTACATGTGTAATAAGAATTGTAATGCATTCCGCTGTCATATATAAATTTTAAAAAATGGAGTAGCTTGTGGCAAACTCCCCGCTTTACAGGATGGAGTAACGCAGGTTTGGGCACAGTCTGAACGTCGCTGCTGGATACCATGGATCCACTCAGAGGGCAGATGGCACTCCAGGGAGGTGTGCTGATCCCTTAACCCCCTGAAATTGGGGGTATCGCYGGTGGTGGGCTGCTGGGCTCAGGGCCACGGCAGAGCTGTGCAGTGGTGGAAAGACATGTTAAAACAACATAAAACCTTCTGATATTATTGAGGTCCAGCTGTTTTTCCTGAGTAAAATTCTTCTAGGACTTTGGCACACTTAGCCTGCTAATAAGTAAAAGACATTTTACAGTCAGTGCGGGCTTTCCCTTAAAGTAGGTGAATATAGCTTGATAGAAATATAACAAAAAGTGTGTTTGCTGAGTTACAGGAACGAAGCAGTGGCAGGTTGATGAATCATGAGGGAAAAAAGTCAGTCTTGTTTTATATTTTTTGGCTACTCCCACTAGGCATAATTTTGGCTGATCATATTCCAGAAAATGTAGCAATTAGTCCCCCACATTAGTCAGCTACTATGACTAATGTGGGGGACTAATTGAGGCGAACAACTTAAAAGCAGGAAGACTGGGGCTGGGGATGTGGCTCAAGTGGTAKCGCGCTCGCCTGGCATGCATGAGGCACTGGGTTCCACACTCAGCAC